TGAGCCAGCAAACAGCTGATCATCTGTTTGTCGGCTCAGTGCGGCAGCCATGTAAATTTAAATGAAGCCGCGATTATTTAAATCACCGCTTCATTTCCCTTTGCCGATCAGCCTAATCTACGTGGCTCCATTGATGGAGCCATGTAATTTAGACACACCCTTAAAGTTGAGTACTTGCATAGATGCTTGTCGAACTGGGGCCACAGTACAGCAAAGGTTGACCCAAAACTCAGTGAAGTCAAGGGGAGTCTTTCCATTAGGCTTTGGGTCAGAGTCCAAGAGAATATATTGGGGTGACAAGGTGAATTGCTCAGCACCTCTGAAAATCATGCCACTTGTACTGAGATGCCTTAATATGAATTCAGGCACCTAGCTTTAGGTCTTGAGTTTAAAATATTGTCTTAAGTGACTTGGCCCATATTACCCCATAAATCCAATGATACAGTTGTGAACAAACAACAAGTCTACTTAATCCATAAGACCTCATTGGTCGCCAACTAAAAATGAACTTGGGTGGCCACAAATGAAGTTCATCATCCATGGTTGACTATTGAGATCTAATATTCTTCCATTTACATTTTGAAGAGTAGTTTTATGTTGTTCCATTTTCTTATTCCTTTGCTCTCATAAATGTAAATGTTATGGTAAAGAATTAGTGTGTGTAAATTAAAGGCATCATAGTTCCCTGCTCCTTACCACTGACAAGAGAATTGAACAGACTTACCTACAACTAAAATTTTGGAGTAACTTGCAGGTTGTCATAAATTGTGGGGTGAAAACAGAGCAATCATGTTATTTTGTCTGCCATGGACTGAGTAGCAGGAGGACTCTGAGATTTTGTAATGATAATCCACACTACTGAAACCTCCTCTTTATGTGTTTTATAGTCGAACATCTCATTCAAAGGTCACATTAACAGGCCTCCAATTTATGGAAAGTTATAGCAAATCCTTAGTCAGATAATAAAGACCCAGTTCAGTAAAGTGACCGATTAATGTTCTGAGCTGCCCATTCCTGGAACAGAGCTGGACTGGCACTGGCACTGCATGGTACAGTATCGAATGTGTTTTTCATCAGTTTCTCTGTGGACCTTTGTTCCATTTTTTTCCTACAGTTACAATTGAGGCGGTAGACACCAGTTATTTCAGACCATCTTCAATGGAGGTTTAATATAAAGATTGGAACAACATCTTTTAACATAATACAACATCAGAATGGACAAAGCTATAGCAAGACATAATAAAATGAGAATCTGAGCAGTGTAATGGCAAAATTTGATCTCTTTTATGTTTGGTCCCTGCACCCGTTTCCCAAGTGCAAATGGATTGATCACTTTTGCTTTGATTGAGGAGAAGTATTGTCTACTCAAAAGAAAAGAAAACAGGCAAGAAAATCCAACAGGCATTTGAATGAATCACAAAAAGGATACAGTCCTTGATGACATCAAAGTCCAAGTACACAGAAACAAAAAAAGGTTTCAGATGAAACCAGAGCTGGAACATCCCATGAAGTGCACATGTACCCCATCACAGAAAATCAAGGAGCCCTTCTAAACTTTGAAGGTATTTCTATGAATTTACTAAACTTTTTTGAAAACAATTTGATAACACAGAATATGAAGTCATCAGAATTTTGCATGTGATCATGCAGGAATCAGGAAAACTGACTTCTACAAGAATGAGATCAGCAAGGAAACCAGTCCTGTTTGTAAGATGGTATAAAAACAACTACCAGTCTTGCAGATTCTTCCAAAGTGAGCACTCATAGAAAGTCAGGATCCCAGGGGAGTATTAGGGTTGGTACAACTGTTCATGCTTTCAATAAATATTGTTAATGTAATGAAAGCACACAAAACATCACAACTGGTCTCCTGAGGTGTCTAGATTTTCAGTTACAGATGATCACCCTTTTGGCCTAGATACACTTTGGTCACTGCCTTTATTACCGAAGGACAAATTAAATAGGTAAAGATTCCACCATAGTGAGGATAGCATTACTCTGTGTCAATAATTGCTGAAGCATTCCTAATTCTCAAGAAGCAGTTCTGGCTCAATATATCACCAGACTGAAAGCTCACTGAAGTGCTTTAGAACATGGGTGTATCACCTGCATGAAGGTATTAAACTACTTCACAGGAGGAATTGTTGGGTAGTGTCCACAAATACCGGAATACAGTTTTAACCTGGCAATTTGTAAACATGTGCATGGACTTTGCTGACAAAGTACTGCTAGTAAAAAGTTAAACAAATTATTCTAAACAGGTTCCTCAAGAATAAGAAAATACATCAGCTGCTTCCTCCATATCTATCTTGTGTTTCACTAGTCCCCTCGATATTCTGCAGCACAGAATGCAAAGGTAGTTTTGCACCCTTCTGATTTGGGCTGCTGCAGAGTTTGGCACCCAGAGTATTTTATAGCAAACTGTCCCCAGCTGTTTATGGGCAGAAGCACCACCAATACTAACTGCAACATTACACATTGTCTTCCCCCCTTCTCCCACCAAGAGATCTCTCCTCACCCAATCTCTATTCCTGATATATTCCCATGCCAGTGGCTTTGTTAGATAACATAAGATGCTGTGTGCAAAGGTTAAAGCAAGGGGATTTCTCCCTCGGCCAGATCCATGGCTGTAGAAATACAAAAGGGCCATATCACACGGGGAATGATTTTCTGTGTGTCCTGTCACATTTTGCAATAAATATAATCACATATTTTCCAGTCTAAATCAGGGATTCTCAACCTTTGCAGACTACTGTACCTATTACAGCACTCTGATTTGTCTGGAGTACCCCAAGTTTCACCTCACTTAAAAACTACTTGCTTACAAAATCAGACATAAAAATACCAAGATGTCATAGTGCACTATTACAGAAAAATTACTAAGTTTGTCATTAGCTTCAGGGGGTAGCCAAGTTAGTCTATAACTGGAACAACTTAAACAACTAATAGTCTAGCAGAACCTTAAAGACTAACAAAACATGTAGATGGTATCATGAGCTTTGTTGGGCACAACCCACTTCTTCAGATTAATGGAGTATAACTTTGTCATATTTATCATATAATTATAACAAATCAATTGGAATATAAATATTGCACTTGCAGCTCAGTGTATTTGTGTATACAGCAGTATAAACCAGTCATTGTTAGTACCATATTTTAGTGTGCACTGACTTTATTAGTGTTTTCTATATAACCTGTGGTAAAACTAAGCAAGTATCTAGGGGTATGTCTACACTACAACGTTAATTCGAACTAACTTAGTTCGAATTAGTTAATTCGAACTAACTTAGTTCGAATTAGTTAATTCGAACTAACTTAGTTCGAATTAGTTAATTCGAACTAAGCTAATTCGAACTAACGCATCTAGAACTAAAAACTAGTTTGAATTAGCGTTTTGCTAATTCGAACTAGTGTGTCCACATTAAGTGGACCCTGAAGCGGAGTTAAGGATGGCCGGAAGCAGTGTCGGCAGGGCATCAGAGGAGGACTTAAAGCGTGGAGATGCTGTCTCGGGCTAGCCGACCCCCACCCTGGACAGACAGATTTCAGAGGTGCCCCGCTTGCAAAGCAGTCCTGGCTTGGATTGCCCGGCCTACCCACACTGGGCACATCACAGCACTCGGCCATCAGCCCGGCTGCACTGGCCGCAGGCTGCCATCTGGGGAGAGGGGGCAATTGGGGGGCTGCCGGAGAGCTTCCACCCCCAGAAGCCCGCAGAGCCAGAGCCAGCCCAGTCCTCCCCATCGGGGGCTCGTGCCCCATTCCTTCCTCACCTCCTTCCACTTACCCTTCCCTAGCCCCTCTTCCTGATGTACAAAATAAAGATACCGTGTCTTCCAAAATGGAATCTGTCTTTATTGAACAAAACTGGGGGAGACTGGGAAAAGGAGGTGGGAGAGGGGAAGAGAGAGGCTGGGAGAGGGGAGGGCAACTACAATGATCAGGGGTTGGGAACAGGTCCCATATGAAGAGAGGCTAAAGAGACTGGGACTTTTCAGCTTAGAAAAGAGGAGACAGAGGGGGGACAGGATAGAGGTCTCTAAAAGCAGGAGTTGGGTGGAGAGGGTGCATACAGAAAAGTTCTTCATTAGTTCCCATAAAGAAGGACTAGAGGACACCAAAGGAAAGGAATGGGTAGCAGGCTTCAAACTAGGAACAGAAAGTTGTTCTTCACAAAGCAAAGAGTCAACCTGTGGAACTCCTTGCTGCAGGAGGCTGTGAAGGCTACAACTAGAACAGAGTTTAAAGGGAAGTGAGATCAAGTCATGGAGGTTGGGTCCATGGAGTGGTATTAGCCAGGGGGTAGGAGTGGTGTCCCTGCCCAAGGTTTGTGGAAGGCTGGAGAGGGATGGCATGAGACAAATGGCTTGGTCCCTGTCTTCGGTCCATCCCCTCCAGGGCCCCTAGGGTTGGCTGCTGTCGGCAGACAGGCTACTGGGCTAGATGGACCTTTGGTCTGACCCAGGATGGCCATTGTAAGCTCAGGGCTCAGGGTCGGGGGTCTCAGTGGATCCCCTTGATTCTCTTGCACACCTGCTCCTGGGTGGCCAGGCTGGCAGCTCTCCTGCCCAAGCCGGCCACTTTCCTGTGCCTAGTGCGGAGATCGTGGAAGAGGTCCACGATGTCCGCACTAGCTCAGGCGGGTGCCCGCCTCTTGCGGTCCCGGGCAAGTTCCCGGGAGCCGCCAGCCTGGTCCCGGGAAGAGGGGGAGGGCTGGGGGGCATCGGGTGGCTGGCTCGATCCGTGCCAGGGGCAGGGTCTGCTGGCTGGGTGCTGGCAGGCTTGCACCTGGCACGGGCACCGTAGCCAGCCCGTGCCCCTTTAAGGGGTCTGGGGCCGGGAGGGTGGCGCTAGAGTTTCCCTAGTGTTGGCCAGAGTGGCCACCAGGGAAACCTGGGGAGGGCTAGCCTCCCACTAGTTCGAATTAGCAAAACGCTAATTCAAACTAGTTTTTAGTTCTAGATGCGTTAGTTCGAATTAACGTTGTAGTGTAGACATAGCCTAGATGAGCTGATGTACCCCCGAAACACTCTACTACTGGTTAAGAACCATTGATTTAAAGGGCTTATTAATATAGCATATGAAACTGCTCATCATGACTTATTGTATTGAACTTGATGTGGTGGCCAAAGGTTCTCACATCAGGGGTTTCAAATGCACTTTAAAATGTGGCTCATTGGTCTATGAAAAGTGACTGCTCCCTGTATCAGTTATCAGCTGGTGGTGAAGCTTCACCTCTCTGTACAGCTTGTGCCTCTCCAGGAAAGGGTTAAACCACTCTTCACTAAATTCAGGAAAAAGTGAAGCAGTTCCTACAATAAGGTGAAGGAGGGGAATAAGGAGTCTCATGGCCAGCAAGTTCTGGGAAAGATCTTTGCTGGTTATGCCTGCAGAACGTACAAAGGACAAGACATGAGCCTGAACTGTCAGGCAATGTCTACACTGCAGGCTTTTTGCACAAGAACAACTGTACCTGTGCAAAAACTTGCAAAGCGTCTACACTGCACACGTGTTCTTGCGCAAGTAAATTTACAGTAAAGCATCAGAAAAGAGGGCTTCTTGTGCAAGAGTTATTCCTATCCCCATGAGGAATAAACCCTCTTGCGCAAGAAGGTTGTGTGGACGAGCAACAAGGGTTTCTTGCACAAGAAACCTCTATGGCTAAAATGGCCATCAGAGCTTTCTTGTGCAAGAGAGCGTCCACACTGCCATGGACACTCTTGCGCAAAAGCACATCTCTTGCGCAAAAGCACATGGCAGTGTGGACACGCTCTTGTGCAAAAACTCTTATGCAAAACACTTTTTGCGCAAGAAGCCTGCAGTGTAGACATAGCCTCAGTGTACAGCACAGCCTCTGGAAAGCTGCTGCAACATGAACCGTAAGACAGCACTGGCTTGGCAGAAGGCCAGCATGTCTCTGGTGATTCCTCGAAACAAAATGTTCCCTGTGACATTTCCGAGATTGTAAAGGATTCACTAGCCCCCACAAACCCTCTGTTCTGTGTGTGCCACACTGACAATAAGAGAGCTCACCCATCAGACAGGCAGCAATTCAGTAGCCCACCCCTCACGGCTAGGTCACAGGAATAATGAGAATATTCACTCTTCAGACAGGGTAGAGATTCACTAAGCCCCTATTTTTCATCTATGATCAGATGAGTAGGATGTTTAGTACTTCTCCATGTGGGAAGTGATTCTTGGATTAATTGCACAGGGTTGCAAGTGACTTGGAGTTTTACCAGTTACACTGATGTAGTCATAACCCCCAGGAGACATTTATTCTGGCATAAAAGAGCTTTTTGTAGCTTCACTTAAACCCCTTCCCATCAGACCTAAACTAAACTGAAAAGACCACTTTTACACATGAGGAGGAGAATGCACTCACTGCTAGCGCACCTCCTCCTGGCTGGGTGTAGAGTAGCAGATTCCTTGTGTGCGCACCCTGCTGATAGCTGACCCAGCCCTGCAGTTGTCTGCCTGTTCTCCCGACACAATCCTCTTCTCATATCATGTTTGGTCCCTGTACAAAGACCACCCCCAAAGTCATGGTCGGTGGTCGATT